AGGGACAGGTACATGTCTCATCTTGCCAGGACAAGGGCGAATGCGTGACCCAAGTCTCACAACCTGGTGGTCACGTAATTATATACAGGACCCAGGTGGGTCCAAGGCAACCAGGGGTATGGTAGAGGAGGTCAAGGGCTCCAGGGGTATGGCAGAAAAAGACCAGGGCTCAAAGTGGTATGGTAAAGGAGGTTAAAAGCTCCAAAAATTATGGAAGATAAAAATCTTGAGTTTAGTTGAGAGGGTCAGGGACTCCAAAGATTTTGCAGAGGAGGCAAAGAATTTCAGTGGTAGCAACAAGTACCTGAAGAGCTCTGAGAAGATGTAGTAGTGGAGGCTTGTGAGTATGTTAGGCAGTTTCAAGGATTCTAGGAGCATGGTAGAGAGGTCAAACTTTCCACAGTGCTTATAAGGTCAGAGGCTCCTTATATAAGAAAGACAATGAAATTTACCTGTGGAGAAGAAGAGGACAAGAGCCCTAAAGGTACTAATGGATAAAAAATTTAAGAGCTCAATTAAAATGTAGAAGGTTGTTAGAATATAACATAAAAGAGGTTTCCAGAGCTCATTAGACAAGCGTGATGGCTCAAGCAGAGGAACTAAAAAGCCAAGATTCTCTAGGTATATATATTTCCCAAAAGTCTTCTGAACTCACTGAAAAATATCACATGTTGAGAAGAGAGAAGAACAGCACAAAGATAATGAGAATTAAAAATGTTCAACTTAATGATTGAAGTTGGAGGTTTCAATTGTGTAAAATAAAGAAGAGCAGAGAATTTTGAGAAGGGATGCTAGCTAATGGTTTATCAGGATCTACGGTAATCTTCAGTTGATAGGGGATTTTTGAGAAGTGAAATGAAGGCTTCAAGGACAGAACTGGTGGTTGAAAGAATGAAACCTGTGATACTAAGGTTGTAGAAAATTTAAAATAAAAAAGTTTAACTAGAAAAAAGGCTGATGCATGTGTTACAGCATTATCCCAAAGCTGAAATACTGTAGTTAGTTGTATCAGCATGTAAAGACTGGTTCACATCACACACATACATACAATATATATATATATATATATATATATATATATATATATATATATATATATATATATATATATATATATATATATATATATATATATATATATATATATATATATATATATATATATAAATAACAACTCAATTGTACAAGTCTGTTACAATTGACATTTAAATCCATTTAAAAGAACTTGTACTATTCATACCTGTGCATGTACCTTGGTTAAGGAGGTCATAGGAAATAATTTCAAAGGAATGTCTTAAGAATTTCCATTCTACTGCAATTTTGCTAAAAATAACTGTAGTCCAAGAAAGGGAAATAATGAACTGCTTTGGTAACACTGACAGTAACAAAAGTTAAGAGATAGTACATAAAAAAAAAAAAATTATATTGAAACAGTAGGTAATTCACCAAAGTAATAAAAATGCTACATTATTTGCTTTAAATATTTATGTGTATTTAAGACAATGGCTTCAGGTCTGCCAGATCTTAATCTATTTTGCATGACAGTTTTAACGAACTGAATCAAGTTGGTTAATGACTTATTGTTAAAATTAAAATGGAGAAGTCTTTACTGCAATGTTAACCCTTAAAATGCGATGTCCCTCATATGAGACCTAGCATACGATGCAACATCCCTCATATGTGAACATTAATTTTTTAAAGTGCACACCAATTTTAAAATTCATAAAGTGCATTACGTGTCCCAATAGATTCACCACACCTCTATAAGCCTCTCAGTTACCATTGCCATTGTGGAAGATGCACATTTGTTGTTGTTTGCCGTAGCCTTCTCCCCACTAACCCCCACATCCTTCCTCCTAGTAACCAGCCCTCACATACCCACTTATATACTGTACAGTACTCCACAAATTTAAATAAATTCCCAGTATTTATATTATAATTTCTTGTTCTTCAGCATGAATATATTTAATTTTATAAGAATACTGTACAACAATTAAACATTTATTATTACTGTATTATTATTATTTTTTGTATATATTAGACACACGGGTAGTTAGGTATTTTCATATTCGCAGTTTAAGGGTTACATATTTTGGATTTTGTGTGAAAAAGTATACACATGCACAAAAATAATCAACACACTATATTGTTCAATGAAAAGTAACATAAGAAAAGTTCAAAAGACAAATAAACTTGCAAATGAAATATTAATAAACCATAGTAAAGTACAGTACCTGTATATATGAAGTTATATGTGCAATGAAGAAAAGTACAGTACAGTAACTAGTAGACAGATTTCAAACAAAGTCACAGCAATGTTATATTAATTATAAAGGAAGAGCAGGCTGAACCAGAGAGATAATATAACTTAGAATGATAGGAGTTAATTGGGATTAGAAGGATAATGCTGATAAAAAAAAGTGGTAGATAAGGAGTAATGGTTAAACCTTACAAGTAACAAAATTTTGATAGTGTAGAACAATAAAGAACTAAATCTTACTGTGGTTACTACAAACATCTGGGCTGAACTGTTATTTCAGCAGTTTGCAGTAAAGAAAGTATATTTTCTTGATATTACAAAATACTTTTGAAAAAATTTCCGACACCATTATGTAAAAAAAAGGTGACAATGATCAAGCTACATAATCAATTCACTAAATTTTGTTACTGAAAACTTTGTACAGATAATGTTATATTGTTATGTCACACCTTGATATGTTATGTCATACCATGATGTTTTGTTATGTCACACCTTGATGTTATGTTATGTTATGTCATACAACTGAAGCAGTGAAGAAGTAGATAGAAAAGGGCTAAATGGCGAGCACTGGAGGCACTAAAGAGGGTAACCTAGTGAAGGATAAGAAGCCATCAGATGTCAGGTTTGGATACAAGTAAAAAATGTAGTTTGGCACAGACCACATTTGAAAAAAAGAAAAGAAAAGAAGGAAGAATTAGAAGAATCTTAACTAAAAAAGGAGAATTAGATGAATGATAACTGAGTAGGAAGTACTTGAACCAGGGTGGATAACAATGAAAGATAAGAGGAGAAACAAAGGCCCTACAGATCGCGGGGAGGCCGAAGGCACAGATACACTCTGACACAGGGCTCGAGGGCGACTGTTCCATCTTTTCACAGGGATTAGGGGTGACTGTTCCATCATTTCACTACGATCGGGGATGACTCCTCCTTTTCACAGAGATTGAGACCTTCTGCTCTTTTTCTTTTTTCCAAAAGGGATCAGGGGGTGTCTGCTTCACTTATTGAATGAAAACCTTAATGCTGTCTTTTTTTTTATGAACAAAGTTCTATTTGATCTTTAAATCTGAAACAGAATGAAGTAACATAGGAACTTAATATGACAGATTGGTTTCTCAAATTAGAAAATGATTTTCATGTCATACACTTCAAATGTGATGACTATCTATTGATGTCGAAACAATCACAAAACCAGTCAAGAAATCCATAAATCACCCCATATAAACATGTACAGTACAGTATACATTTTGTGTATATGAGTGTGTATATATGTGTGTGCTTGTGTACATATACAGTATATATATATATATAATATAAAAGTAGTGTCTCAGAGTACGCGTATCCATAGTGCACAACCCCGCTTATACGCATCTGACCCCCTGAACTGCCCTTATGCTTGGGTCTCACTCTTGCACAAGCCAATCCACCCAGCATTTCTTGCTACCGCAGTATGTTGTTCACTTGTCTATGCTCATTTGAAAGAAATAAATAAAAATTACAATAATCTAATGTATTTTAGAAATAAATAAAATAAAAGATAAAACTATAAAATAAGAAAAAGGAAGAGCAAGGGTGTGTATGAGTGGGAAGTGAATGTTTGTTTGTGGAGAGAGTGAGCTGTAACTGCATCACCGACTCGCCATTCCAGTGCTTCCTCCATCCATTCCCCAATTTCATGTTGTCCAGAGTATGGTTTGAGTGTGGAAGGAGCTATTTTTTTTACATAAAATAATACCTACATACTGTACCAGTAAACGTAAGGAATAAATAAGAGTAATACTAATAAATAAAATAAAAATAATGCATCGCCATTTGGCAATCATTTCACAACACACTGAACACAGCAGACGGTGAGTAGCCGCGATCCCTCACGTTGCTCTCCTCTTCTCCCCGTGCTAATACACTGTACTATGCATACGAAGAAATGTTAATTTCCTTTAAGTTTTTGACCTTATGATACTGGAGTTATTTTTAATTTTTTGCAAATTCTTTATGAACGATTGTGTGAGCATGTAACAGTAAAACAAAATTAAGAAAATTACGAAAATCTACCCCAAAATATGAGTTGAAAATTAACCATAACATAACTGGCGTCCTTCTCTCTCTTCCACTGGTTCTGTGAACATCTTCCAGACATTCATGCTGGTATAGTTTTTCTTTACTGGTGAATTTTATTTCAATCGTAGCCCATATGATAAAAATTAGTGGCAGTGCTTGTGGTGGTGAAAGTGAGAAAAAGAAAAAAACACATACAGCCATACTGTGAAAACTTTTGAAGAAAGGAGTAATGTATCAAACTCTGAAGTTGTGTGTTGATTTCCTTAGTGTATATATATATATATATATATATATATATATATATATATATATATATATATATATATATATATACTAGAACCTAAATATATCATTTCTTGGTTATCTGGGATCCAGGAATTAAGCCTTCTCATACTCAGAACACTGCAATTATTGAAAAAAAAATTATAATAATAATAATAATAATATATATATATATATATATATATATATATATATATATATATATATATATATATATATATATATATATATATATATATATATATATATATATATATATATATATATATATATATATATATATATATATATATATATATATATATATATATATATATATATATATATATATATATATATATATATATATATATATATATATATATATATATATATATCCTTGGCCAAATGACTCCATGAATGAATCTGAACATTTTAACCAAAATGGCCCAACAGCCTTTGCTGTGCAGATGTAAGCTTTCAAAATAAGTTGCACTATACAGGCTATTTCATAACATTTTTTCAATAACAAATGAGCATGTACAACATCATTCCAACACTTTCCCGAAGAGCATCACAAACTATCACAATCGAGTGCTGGCATCTTCATCTTAATAGTAAAGCTACTCACAACCTCTTTAGACCTCATCTTTCAATAAACTTGAGATTTACTGAGTCACCAACAGCCTTTTGCTACTTTAATCTATTTTTTTAACCAATTAGTACTTAAGTTGTGTTATTTTCTTCAAGATAATGCAAAAACCATACTTTTCATCAAATTTGGTACTTGGGACAGTAGCCAATCTTAGCGAAATGTCAGTCAGTAAGAGTGGACATCACAAGTCAAGTTGTGACCTGGACATCAGCTCTTGCTCATCTACTGCAGAGTGACTCAGACACCTTACTAGATGTCAAATACTACCGAGATCCTATAAATTTTAACATAATCTTTATGCCTACAAATTACAAATACTTAAATATTACAAGAAAAAGAGTTATGTAACCTTATCATGTAGTAAACATATTATTCACAGAGTTCCGAGACACATATGCAAGAGATTAGAGAAACTCCTGAGTTCTTGTATATGATGACCTAAATGTTTAGTAAGTGACTGAAACTAACACTTGGTGTTAAGCTGAATGTGTGAGTGGATGATAAAATTCACTTAACCTATTTTCGTCTTTGTGATAACATTTTCGGACAGTAACTAAACCTTTAAGCCGTTGTCTTAACAAGTAACTGCATCTCAAAGGCTGGGTCAAACAAGTCCCTTGCCGGTTTTCATCATTATTTGCTGGCCGCTACCAATGAAAAAATTACATCTAAACATTATTATAAGTTAAAAAATACTTTGAGATCAATAACAAAAATGATTCTTCATGACCTAAACATTATAATCAGAATCAGTGTTTTGGGATGACCATAATGGTTATTTGTTAAGTGCATTCTTAATCTTTTGTTAACAAGTATGTTGATGAATCCTGATAAGGGACTTGTTGAACACAGCCAGAGTATATGTTCTCCACTCTTCAAATGAGAGGCATCACAGAAAACCTTAATCTTAAAAATTAATTACCATCATTCCCTGGACGTTGCAGTGTTACCGAATCGGAAACAAATAACGATCGGTCGCTGAAGTGTGCACCATTTTCTACTTTAAATATGCACACTAAAACGTTTTGTTTTTAATCTCTCTATCCATTTGAAGATGAGATTTACCCACCCGAGAGTCTCAATGGATGAACAACATTTTAGGCATTGTGAGTGTTTAAGAATGCCTTCTTAACTGCATTGTAGGGTTTAAACTTAACATTATATCAAGTAGTATCAGAAATGCTTTACATCACTTTTAACATAGCGGCACTCAGACATATAGGAGAATTCTCTTATTTTAGAAACAATTCTGTCTTCAGTTCCTATATTTTTCTTATCACTTGAAACATTCTGTAACTGTTCATTATGACTTTATCATGGACTTATAATTTTTTAAGTTCAGTATATTAAGGCTGCATTTTATTGTTTTCTTAACATGAAAACTCTTGAGTGAAGATGCAGGTTTTCTTGCTTTACATTTGATAAAAATATCTGTGGCAGTTACATTTGCTTTGGTTCTTCCCTATCATTTTGTCTACAAATGTTTCTATTGCTCACCCTCATCTAGCCTGTGATTATTAGGATTTTCAAATGTAAGTTTTATATTTCTTGCTGACAATGATTAACTTATAAAAAGATTCATTCGTTGCAGATTCTATTGGACTTTGGATGCCAGGCAATACACACTGGATTCCAACCTGAGAGGGTTTAAGATCCTCAAGGATTTCTATTGTCAGGTGGGGTTTCAGACATCTGATTCAGTCTTCGAGGCATCTGACATGGTCACTCTACTGGTACCAGGACTTGCTTCCCGTGAGCGCTCCTGTAAGAGAGTATATGAGTCAATTAAACCTCATGATTTCTGCCCTTTTATATATATATATATATATATATATATATATATATATATATATATATATATATATATATATATATATATATATATATATATATATATATATATATATATATATATATATATATATATATATATATATAATGCAAATTTCATAAAATCAATTACATTACAGTATTACTAAAACAACCCAACTAAAAGTTATTTTGGTTCATTTGAATATAATTTATACCAGGGTATATATATTTTTTTTATTACAATTACAGTATATAGAGCATGTGTTGATTTATATACAAACAGTAGTACCTGTATATAAATAATTATACAGCACTGTATATACATAATACTTTTTCAGGCCTTGTTTTGTTTAATGAAGGGTGATTGGCAACCACAGCATATACAGCATACACACTTCCCATTATTTGCTGTCGCCCTTTCATTCTTACTGGTGTAAAAATAAGTGTTGCCATGATTAACCATTCCAAAATAAGGCCCCAAGTTGGTTTATTTTTGTCCCTTCACACAAGCCTTCAACACTCACCGACACTTCCTTCCCATAATTCACACGACTCCATACTCTGGTTACTCATATAATGTAGCTTCCTGGATGCAATTTCCCCCTTCACCTCTACAGAGTCCTTCATCCCATCCTTTCATCTTTTTATGGTTTTTCCCTATCATCCTACCATCCATCTCTGAAATGTACAGTACTGTATGCTCCTTTTACCAATCTTTCCTCTGGCCTGCTCTCTACACAACACTCCTTGCACTTCTTTATCATTCCTCCCAATTTAAAATTTTCTGCATCCTGTTTTTAGACCTTTTTTGCTCCAATCAAGTTATTACTGTCATCTCTTAATTTGCTCCCTTCTCTTGCATCCCAAGTCTGTGCTTCACACCAACACAAAAATGATTGCACAATAATGCTCTTGTAAGTCTTCATCATTGCTTCTTTTTATTTATTTCCTTCTGACACTCTATGGTGAGAATCAAAACTTGTCGTTTTACAATACAATACAGTACTTGCCGACACGTCTTCACCCAAATATCTCGCACTTCCTCCTCTTCTCCCATTCTATCTTCATTAAAGTTAATATTTCTATCTTTTTGACCTCCCTCTCCACTAATTTTACCAACTTACAATGACTCAACTTTCTCTTAGTACTGTATTCATTTCTAAATTCAATAAAAAAATACTGTAACTTTTTCTCTGAATTGCCACCTTTGACTTCCATCTCACACCATTGCTCACCATACCTACTCCTCTCCTTTCATCTTTCCTCTCTAATCAACCCATTCATGAGAATATTGAATAACCATAGCAACATTATACAACCTGAATGTTGTCCTTCCATCACTTGCAACCCATCTCTCTTACCAACAATTCCCTACATGCTTCAATCTCTGTGTACAGTAGCACGCACGCATGCATGCACGTGTGCACACACATACACCCTTTACATATATACTGCATACTAGTACAGCACAGTTACAGAAATGTGTTCCTACACCCCCTATGCTAACCTGTGTCTCCAATCAGCAACATCGCACTCGTAGTAGTATCACTATTTATAAATGAATGGGTATTGGTTGTATCACTACGGTTGTGAATCGGGGAATAGGTTTGCTATAAATCATATAGGTTGGCCGTTTGGAGACAAAGGTTACCAAAGGGGGTGTAGGAACACATTTTCACAACCGTACAACCTCAGGTTGCCTATGCTAAGGAGATCCTTTGTCTCAGAGAAGAGAAATGGGATTGTTGAAAGAAAATTGGAATTATTTTCCTTGAACTCTGGGTAGATATATTGTCATCTCCTAAGCTTTGGACAAGTTCATTTATACCTTCCTTCCCCTGGCTGGGCTGCCATTACATGTGGTGACCATATGGTAAATTTTATATATATATATATATATATATATATATATATATATATATATATATATATATATATATATATATATATATATATATATATATATATATATATATATATATATAAAATCACACAGGAAAGGAGCAGACACCTTAGCTTTGACGTCTTTATTCAAGATGTCTTAAATAAAGACCAAGCTAAAGTGTTTCCTTTTGATTTTATCAAGATTATCTTATCACGTTTTCATTGTGGATCTACATTAAATAAATATATACAAGTACTGTATATATATATATATATATATATATATATATATATATATATATATATATATATATATATATATATATATATATATATTATATATATATATATATATATTATATATATATATATATATATATATATATATATATATATATATATATATATATATATATATATATATATATATATATATATATATATATATATATATATGTATATATACAGTTAACCCTCACTTTACGCGGTTAATGTAACCAGTACCCGCGGAAAGTGAGAAAGCAGCATAAAAGTGAATAACATAACATATGGGATTAATTGAAATGGAGTCAGGGCGATCCCCAAACTCCACTTTTGGCGACTACACAACTATATTTGTAGTAAAATATTATCTTAACTTTATGATGGTATGCACACAATTAATAATTAAGAGAAATATCAATAATATTAGGTTTTTTAACACTTACATTAGTAGAAAAAATGGCTGGGCACAGGATGGGCGGTTGGTTCCGAGGAGAGGGCAGATTATTGGCCCTCACCTGTGTCACTTATTATCATTGTATCACTATCACCACAGAGGCTTGCAGGGCCTCTTTGTCAAACTCCCCAAAGTCCATATAAGTCCATATCCTCCCATAATTATCACTATCACTGACGGGCCGGCTGTGGTGGGTGGCGGGAGAACTGGTAATGTTTTCACTTATTTGGGCGACCTTGCGCACCATGTTAGCACAACTTACACAACATGGGGATGGCGGGAGTTTGGATCCAAAATGGCGCGGCTGCCAGCCACTCTCAGCGTAAAGGCACACGCACACATGAATGTGAGCATCCTGGGTTCGGCAGGGCACCGGCGTAAGCGTGAAGCGAATGCGGGACTGCGTAAAGTGATTAACTTGGGTAATATATATATATATATATATATATATATATATATATATATATATATATATATATATATATATATATATATATATATATATATATATATATATATATATATATATATATATATATATATATATATATATATATATATATATATATATATATATATATATATATATATATATATATATATATATATATATGCACGTGTTGTGCACACTTGCACATACCGTACATGCAAGTAAACATGCATGTACACAAAGACATACTGTACAAAAAATTATTTACAAGAATTATAAGAAATATATTTATTTATTTTGTTTATTTATAAAGCAGTCTTCATTCATGGTTCTTTTTCATAGAAAGCAGGACCAGATGTACATGTGAAAAACTTTTTCAAACAAGCAGTTAAATGTGCTGTAAATAACTTTACCATGTTTTTTGTTTTAAAAATCATGTGACACTTGCACCAGTAAAGTTAAGGCAATTTGTCGAGATGAACAGGCAATCTAAAATAAGGAAGATGTTGAACAACTGAATCACAGAGCAAAAGAAGAGAAAAAAGTTAGTGACTAAAGTATCACTAAAAACAAAAATTTTTATATCAACCACAGTAAGTTCCTAAGCACTGTACCCCATTTTGCACTTTACTCGCACTACTTTCCAGTTTATTTTGAACAGAGTTCAGAACTTGAAACAATTAAGTGTCATTCAAATAAGTTTCATAAAAAGGAATGTCATTGAAACAATACTTGAGACACACTTGATAACAGTTAGACAAAGTGTGTCTGTACAGACATTTTATAAAAATGTGAGTCAATAGGGCTAATATTAATAACACTGATAATATTACAATACATACACTGTAACATTATCGAGAATGGAAGGCCTTACTGCTAGAAGACTGTTGAGAGCTTTATGGGATTGAATGCCGTACGACACCCATATTCATGCCAAGTCCTTCAACTTAATGTTTGTGTTACCTACCTTGTTGGATTAAATGAATGACCCTGTTGATTTATGTTTCTGATTGTCCTGGATAATTTAATATGACTATGTATTTTGGTGATCTGTCGGTGTAATATCTGCAAGTCCATCGATTTATAATGAGATGGCGTCAAAAGTTATGACGCAGTGGTATAATGCAAAATATTGTCTATATATATTATGAATTTGTGGGAGTAAAGTGCAAAAAGGGGTATTATTATAATTACCCACTATGATGCTATGACTACAGTGAGCTAACTTGTGTACTTTGAGTCATACATGGTGTCAAGGGTAACGCAGGAAAATAATTACGATGACCAGTCACTTTGAATTTAAAATGAATCGTGTTATCTTACAGACCAAATGATTACAGTATATGGCAATCTGTCCTCTGCTACAATTCTTATTTGTATTATACCATGAGAAATACTTTAAATACTTTTAGCATCCACTTGCAACCCCACTGTCATTTTATAGAAGTCAGTGAGAGTAGTGGGGGTTATTGTACTGCACACTTACCTTACTGACATTGTGTTTATATTTAACTCATCACAGAATAATCACTTTTATTGTAAAGAAAGTAATAGCAAGGCAGAAATTTAAGCTTCAACTTGAAAGTAACTAAATATAGAGCCTTTTAATTAAAATACAGTACAGGTTGGACCTCGTTAATCTGGGAAGCTTGGGACCAGACCAGCTCTGGATTATCAAAAATTCTGAACCATCGAAGCTGAGGTTAAAAAAAGGAACACAAGGCCCAGACCAATGTACCACTATCTAATTTCGTCAGTATAGACACCTTTTCTAAAATAGTTAATCACATGCTTACGTTTTGCTGCATTACAACCACTTCCACTGCTTGCTGGTCTCTTAGAAGGCATATTTAGGGGTAAATTATAAGTGTTTCAAGGTAAAATAGTGGCAACAGCCCCTAGAAGTGAGCTATGACAG